CTTTTACTTCATTTCTTCCAGTCACTTGCTCAAGAGCAAGTTTCAGAGTCATTCTACTTGTAGTCCTAAATCTTAGGGAATTAGAAGGAGGGAAAGAGGAGAAAAGGAGGCAGAAAGAATATATGGGAACGTATGTGTAGTGTATATGACTTTTGATATGTTCCACAGGAGAAAGATGAGGCGTTCTGCTCCTGTAAAGATTTACAGCCTCGGAAACCCTGTGCAGGGTCGTTATGAGCCGGAATACTTAACAACAACAATGGTTGACAAGAATTTCTGACTCACTTTGAGTTCTATCATGATTATAGTTATGATTATTGTCGTTAAGTGCCGTCAAGTTGGTTCTGGCTCATAGCAACCCTGTATAGGGTTTCTGAGAAGAGGCTGGTGAGCTTGAACCATTTACATTGAGGTTCAAACTGACTTTGCAGTCCTGTGCATTAACCCACGGCACCACACCAGTATTATTGTTGTTGTTAAGTGCCGTGGAGTCAATTCCAACCCATAGCAACCCTGTATAGGGTTTCCGAGGAGCAGCTGGTGAGCTTGAACTGCCGACCTTGCAGTTCGAACGGCTTTGCAGTCTGGCGCATTAACCCACAGCGCCACACCAGGACTCCCCAGTATTATTAGTGTAATGATAAAAGCTAATACTTATGGCTACACCACCATGCTTATTTTACAAGTAAGTACCAAAACAAAAAATTAAAACCACTGCCAACCAGTCAACTCCACTCCCAGGGCTTCCCAAACTGTTCATCTTTATGGGAGCAGAAAGCCTTAGCTTTTTCCAGTGAAGCAACTGGTGGATTTGAATTGCTGCCCTTATGGTTAGCAGTCCAGTGCTTATTCTATAGTACCACCCAGGCTCCTTATGTTGTTGTTGTTAAGTACTGTGACCGTGAAGTCAGTTCCGACTCATAGTGACCCTGCACAGGCTGTAAATATTTACGGGAGCAGAATGCCTTATCTTTCTCCCGTGGAACTGCTGGTCATTTCAAACTGCAGTCCAATTCATATCAGAGCTCCTTAGGCTCCTTATAGTACTGTGCCATTTATTTCTAATTAAAAATCTTGTGGTGTGACACTATAGGGTAAGTACTAGCTTGCTAACCGCAGTTTGGTGGTTCAAACCCACCAGTTGCTCCTTGGAAACCCTACACAGGGTCTCTGTGTTGGAACCAACTTGACAGCACCTAACAGCAAGGTAAATATGATTCTTCCTATAGTAAGATGCCCCACTGAATATTTAATGTCAGTTAACACTTCAGACATAGAGTTCCCTTGGTTTCAGAAAAGGTTCTGAAGCGGTAGCATCTCAGAGAGATGTGCTCCACTGGACAGAGAAAAGCTGGACCTCTTCCTACTGAATATTTATCTTCTGTTTTCTCAGAGAAATATAGAAAGCCACCTTAACCATTCTCCTGAGGAGAAACATTTAGGGGATTTCTTTCCCTGGAGAGAATCAGGGTAACAGCTGTTAAGTGTGATCTGGTTGTTCTAGTGTTCAGAAAGAATATGAATAAAACTTTTTAGGATGTGGAACCCCCTGGAGACGATGGAAAGAAACAACTGCTCTTAGAAGAGTGGGCAGAGACCAGCTCTACTATAACAGAAAAAACAACATGTAATGAGGCCCTTTGCACTTGAAGAACTAATAAGGAGGAGCTGCCAGATTGTGGATCCCAGGGAGGGAAAGGGAACAGAGCTTCTGAGTCTGCAAAGGGAAGCACTTAGCCCAATTCTGAAGAGCTTTGTTGTTGTTGTAAAGTGCCATCGAGTCTGTTCCCACTCATAGCAAAACATGATGGTAAACCCAAACTACTGAGCACTGTGAGCTGTAACCCTGGCAACCTGAGCAAGCTGGACCTGCCTTGGAGCCTGGCTCTGCAGAGCTGGGCTTTGATGGGTGTGTAAGACAATGTTAACAGCGACACCCTGTGGCCGTCAGGAGGAAAGGCAGTAGCAGGCTAGACCTCCAGGCTCTCCCAGCTGGAGTGAGGATATCAGAAGCACTGGACTCCCCTCCCTCCTCCTTTGGATTCTTGTCATAGGGGTTTGCAAGCATGAGATAATTGCAGACTTAATGAAGCTGATTCCAAGATGCTGAGATGTTTGGAAACTCCTAGAATGAACTGCTTTACATTCATCTCTCTAAAACCTGCTTCCTAACTTACTTCCCCAAGTGCTCATTTTGAAAGAGTGACTAATTTATCTTATACTCACGAGACAGTGGTTGTTGTTAAGTGCTGTCAAGTTGGTTCTGATGCATAGCGGCCCTGTATAGGGTTTCCACGGCCATAAATTTTGAGGGAGTAGAAAGTGTCATCTTTGTCCTGTGGAATTGCTGGTGGGCTCAAATCGCTGACCTCGTGGTTTGCAGTCCAGTGCATAGCCTACAAGTGACTGCTATAAAACCAATCCCACTGCCATGGAGTCTATTCTGATCCACAGCCACCCTATAGGACAGCATAGAGCTGCCCCATAGGGCTTCCAAGGGTTTATCTTTACAGAAGTAAAGCTAGACGGCCTCATCTTTCTCCCACAGAGCAACTGGTGGACTTGAACTGCCAACTGTTTGGTTAGCAGCTGAGTGTTTAACTACCATGCCATGAGGGGTTCCTTTACTTAGGGGAGAGGGGGAAATGAGGTTGAGAAGATCACTTGGGGGGGATGCTGTTTTGCAAGATCCTTCCAGTCTCACCTTCGTCTCCTCCAGGACGCTCTTCTTGATCCTGAGTTCAGTACCCTGTAACTGCCTATGTTTTCCTAACCAAAGGCATTAAGCACACAATTGTAATTTTCTATTAATTAGCTTTGGCTTCACTAATATATACTGTGAAAGGCAGGGATGGTGCTTTGCTCACCATTCTATGCCCATTGCCTTGCATGTGCTGAATTGTTGAAACCAAAGGGTTATTTTTATGTCTAATCCATAGCCCTGGTCAGGGCTGGTGCCAGTAAGAATGGGAGTCTTTTCCTCTTGGTATCTGATGCTGCATTCTTTCTAGCTAGCATCTGTAATTTAGAAGGCTGTGGCCATCTATTTGGAAGCCTGAATTGTAGTTTAGAGGTCCAGGCTGAGTACAGGTCACTGAATCCTTAAATAAGCTGCTGCCCAGAGCTAAGGTACCACCTACACCAGGCGGATTGTTTATGCTACCAAGTTTGTATTTCTTTTCCTATAAATTGTACTCAAAGTTCCAAAAACAACTTTTAAAAAACTTAATAAAAAGCCCTCAATAATGACACAGAAAAGAAACACATTCAATTTTTTTTTTACCATGTCAACTCTCTGTTGTTGATGTTGTTGTTAAGCACCATGGAGTCAGTTATGACTTGTAGCAACCCTGTAGAGGGTTTCCGAGGAAACACTGGTGATTTTGAACTGCCAACCTTGCGGTTCAAACCTACCTTGCATTAACCCACAGTGTCACACCACGATTCAGCAGTCTAGCAACCCATATATGATGGTTTGGGGGAGAAAGAGTTGGTTTTATGTTCCTTATGCTATCTCTGTAAAAAGTGTTGAAGAGCAAAGATGTCAGTTTGAGGACTAAGGTGTGCCTGACCCAAGCCATGGTATTTTCAATAACCTCATATACATGCAAAAGTTGGATAGTGAATAAGGAAGAACGCAGAAGAATTGATGTATTTGAGAATTATGGTGTTGGAGGATAATATTAAAAGTACCATGGACTGCCAAAAGAACAAACATCTGTTTTGAAAGAAGTATAGCCAGAGTGCTCTTTGGAAGCCAGGTTGGCTAATCTTCGTCTCTCATACTTCGGACATATTATTAAGAAGGGCCAGTCACTGGAGAAGGTTATCATGTTTGGTAAAGTGGAGATTCAGAGAAAAAGAGGATGACCTCTGATGAGATGGATTGGCACAGAGGCAGCAGTGATGGGCTCAGGCGTAGCAACAAAGTGAGGTTGACCCGGGACCGGGCAGTGTTTCGTTCTGTTGTGCATAAGGTCGCTATGAGTCGGTACCAACTTGATGGTACCTAACAACAACAACAACATGCTTTCTCTGAGGTGGTTACATTCTTTCCAAAGAACAGAGAAGGAAATTGGGTCACACAATCATACGATAAACATTGTCATAGGAAGATTCCTCTTGAATCTTAAAAGAAATCACTTGTAGACCGATGAAAATATAAACTGTATGGAAAGGGAGTATCAACATTGGGAGCTCTACCCCAGAGCCTGCAGAGATAAGACAGTCGAATGTGAGCTCGCAGATGATGACTCAGTGACAAACTAGAGCTCAGGGATGTTTGGACCACTTAATGGATGCTGAGTTCATGACCTCCCATGTCAGGCACAGAATTCCAGGCTAGGTAAGTTACTTGTCTGATCAAGGGTGATTCTAGGATTGAATTTGTGCTCTTTTAAGGCCCACAGCAGATAGGTACTGAACTGAAGCCTAGCCAGCCAGTGACACTTTAGCCAAAGTTCCACCCAGAACTCCTAAATGATGGCATCAAGCTCAGCTCTGGAGGTCAGCATTCCAGAGTGCCAAGACAGGGGCGTAGGGGAATGTGAAGGTGGGAAGAGGGCAGAGGGCTCTGTCTCGATACTGAGAAATTAATGCCCAGGTTGTTGTTAAGTGCCGCTGAGTTGATTCTGACTCATAGGGACCCCGTATGGAGTTTCTGAGGAAGTGCTGCTGAATCTGAACTGCCTACCTTGCAGTCAGTGCATTATCCCACAGCGCCACATCAGGACTCTAGTGCCCAGGAAGTCATCAGAATATCATGAGAAATTAGCTGATTTATTTTTATCATCTCTTTAATCTGATATTTGGGAGCAATTAGCTGTTTTAGGGAGCAAATGGTGTGGGAGTTGGGTTGATGAGGCAAGGAAAGGTCTGTTTTTAATCTAAGAGTGAACTGATTTAGCACATCGCAGGGAACAAGAGACCCTCTCACTCACGGAATATTGAGACTGAAATTCCTAGAAAACTCAAGAAAGCTAAATTTACAGATGGATTAGATATGCCGGACCCAGGGCCAGAGAACTGTGTGTCCACACAGGACCATGGAACACCACGGGTAACAAGGCCTCACTGTTGCTCTGCTTGTCATCTCAATTTCCTCCTCCCTCCCCGGGAAATCCCAGTAGAAGTCCATTCAGCCGGTCGTGATTTCTATTTGGTAATTATGTGGGCTGCACTTCTCTGCTTGTTGAACAGCAAGCTGGCTTTCCTCCTCTTTGCTGCTCTCTTTCTGCTTATAGGACAATGTCTTCCTCTCTATTTTGCAGGGCCGATAGTTCAAGTACAGCGCTAGGGCGACAACACCTGCTCCAAGGGCCACGATGATAATAACGAAGATGGTGGAGCTGAGGCTTTCTTCCGGTCCTGCCCAAGCACAGGAGACAGAAAGTTGGGAAGGCCTGAGTGCAAAAGCAACACCCTGCCCCAACTCACCCATCTCAATCTCATCCTCCCCAGCCCACAGAAATCTGAATCCCATCCCCCTGGGACGGGCAGCAGGGCAGCTGCATCACCTTGAACAACGACAGCAATGTCTTTGCTGACAGAGCCCAGCTGGTTAGTGGCCATGCAGCAGTAGGTTCCAGAGTGGTTCTGGGTTGCCATCTGTGGGACTTCAAGGTCAAAGATCATCCCATTCCAGGTACACACCAAGCTTGGAGGCGGGTTTCCCTTTGGGACACAGATAAGCATCTGCTCTGTCCCTTCGACCCATGTCTGGTTGCCCGGACAGCCAGATTCCTCTAACCGTGGCTCATCTGCAAGAAAGAGCAGCCCCCAAGAACCAAGCTCAGGGAGTCACATTCCCTCCTTCCATAGCCTACATAGCCCTCCCCACAGCAGCTTTCTTTCTCAAGGGGAGGACTCTGGGGTCTCTGTTTTCAGCCAATACTTCTCTATTCGCTTCTCCAAGTCTAAGACGTACCACAGGTATTTTTATAGGTTTGGACTACAAGGCTCCGTCAGTGGTGACTTTTGGGTCTCTGTTTCCCTTCCCTGACTCTCAGTGAGTGAGGAGGTGGGGAGAGGTGTACTCAGAGATGGGGATCATTCCACTTTTCAAAATGAAATTATTGGAAATTTTCCTTTTCAGCATATGCTCCAACGATCACTTATGTTTTCAGCCATCGGGCTCTCAACTAACACTGCATAGCCACTTCACGTTTCCCTCATCCCCACTTAACAATCCTACAGTAAGGTAAGCTGGGACAGCTTTCATTCGAGTTTCTCCTACTATTGCTTTTCGTATGGAAATAATGGCAACTCTAAAGATGAAGACAATGACCCAGATGATTCTTGGGAATGGGAAGCTGACAACATCTTGTTTTGGCAAAAGGCTCACGCCTCTACTCACAAAAGACACGGAGCTGGAGAGCAGTGGCTTTGACCAACCGCTGACCCTGAACCTCCAAGGAGGCCTCACAGGAGAAATTTCGGCCATCATCTTCCTCCTTGACAGTAAGTAAAAGCCAGGCAGGCTCCCCAGGGCCGGGGAGCATCGGGGCTCCCTGAAGTCGCAGTGTAGAGCTGGGTGATGTTAATACATGCTCAGAACAGGTCACGTTAATGTCTGTCCCCACCAAGGGGTTTGATTCTTCTATCTCCAGGACTGGTGGAGGAAAGCCTATAAGAAGGGCAAAGAAAACAAGATTTGTCTCAAAACTGGCAGTTGCTTCAGTAATTCTGCTTGTAGTGGCACCTCTTAGGTATGCAGACAGCAGGGGAAGATTTTCAAAGCATTATTGGTTCAGTAAAAAGTTCATGACAAGAACAATGAGGACAGCGGGACTTGATGGCAGCTAGGGTGGAGGTGCAGTGAGGTTCGCCGTCAGCCATACCACAGAATACCAGGCAAAGCAGAACCAGGGCAGACTCCAAAACTCGGAACCACAGAGATAGGAATATTTTTAAAGTTTGAAGGCTTATAGTTTGTGGAACTTGAAGCAGAAGTAAGAAATTGTGTACTTTTGAATCTGCCGGGCTCGGAGGCCCGTAGCCGACATCTTGGGTGAGACCAAATGGCAAGACCAAGTGGGGGAGCAGATACACCATGGGAAAAACGCCGCGGAAACCTCGGAGCAAAGCTGGACAGTATACTTTCTATGAAACACCTCACAACATGCCTGAACCTAGAAGACATTATGCTGAGTGAAATTAGTCAATCACAAAAGGACAAACATTGTATGAGACCAAAAAGTCATAAAAAGTTTAAAAAAAAAAAAAAAGTTTCATTGATAAAAGAAGCAATCCATGATGGTTACTAAAGGGGAGGAAGGGCAGGAAAGATTATTCATGGGCTAAAGAGTTGTTGTTAGACGCATGCTAACCTGGGTGACAGGGCAGGCAATACACTACAAGAGGGAAGTTAGCAGAGGGAAAGTGAAGGTAACAGAAGACACAGAGCCAAAGACAAGAGTAAAAGTGAATAGAGGTAAATGCTGTTAACTGTTGGTACATGGAGGGGATTCAACCGTGTAGTGAAGCAGAGTATATGGTTTATTGAACGTAAAACCGATGGTCTGTTCTGTAAACCTTCACTCAATTCACAATAAAAAAGTTTTTTTAAAAAAAAAGAACATTGAGGTAGTTTGGAAATTTGAGAACTTCTCCATGGCACAACACAGCATACACACATTTGGCTGTGCCTCTGCTGTGAAGACACAAGGTGTCTTCCCATTTTACAGATTACCTCCACAGCTCAGGCAACTGTCCCGAGGAACAGGATCAAGCATCCACCTTTCTGTAAGTAGTGTAGCCACCTTTCTGTAAGGTGAAGACTGCATGTAACTATTGTTTCAAGGCTGGTCCCCACCCAGCCCACACATGTCAAACAAAAATGAAGATTAATGTTCACTTGAGAGTTGCCTAGCAAAGGTGAGCAGAGTGGTCAAATCACTAAGCCATGACTGTGGAAGTTTTCAGCAGCAGAGAACCCACATGGAGAAAGGGAGAAGCAGGTTACTTACTATAGACATGCACCGGCTCTCTTGTTTTCTGTTCCTTTGGACCCAGAGATACAAGGCAGGACAGCTCCTGATCACCAGTGTCCATGGCCCGAACAGTGGCATTGGCCCATGCTGTGTCTCCCTCCCAGGAGAGCAAGGGGCTCAGCTCCTGGTCTTCCAGGGACATGTAGAACATTACCTCTTCGGCTGGAAACACCCTTGCCACCTCACAGCTCACACTCTCTGCCATCCCAACCTCCAGTAGTGGAGAGACTAAGATCTGGGGGCGCTGAGAGAATTCTGCCAACAAGTGATGAAGAAGAAAGAAAAACGAGATGAGCTATGATAAATCATGGGCCATGTAAAACCCCACAATGCAGGGAAGGAGTGGGACTAAGAGTCCTCCTTCCCCCAGGCAGAGGTTAAAGCCCATGTAGAGGTGGAGCTCAAGTATTCTCACACCTTCACTCCAAACCCTACGGGCATTTAATCCCAAAGGTCAAGATGGTCGGTTGTCGTTGTCAAGTGCCCCGGAGTCAGTTCTGATACACAGTGACCCTACATAGGGTTTCTGAGGAGCAGTTGGTGAGTGTGAACTGCCAACCTTGAAGTCAGCAGTCCAGTGTTAATCCTACAGCACCACACCAGGACTCCTGGTCAAGGTCAAGGTAAGATGAGGAAACTGGCCCTCAGGATTCTTTCCACGACTGCACCATCTGACTCACCGAAGATCCGGAGCACCTTGATGGCTGAGCTGCTGTGAAAGAGGCCTCCACCTTGTGAACTCAAGTCCAGCTGAGCATGGCAGGAGAAATTGCCCCTGTCATCCTCCCTTTGGGCTTTGACACTGATGGTGACCTCAGCTCTTTGGGTGGCCATAGCCAAGCTCATGAAGTTCTTCCTATGGAGTTCTCGGTTATCTTGGACCAGAGTAAGGGTGAGGTTCTCTAGGGGTGCTACACTGGGCACGAGGCACTTCACTGTAAAGGTTTCCTTCACAGCCACCCATGCAGGCTGCAGTTCCAGGATCACCTGCTCTGGTGGCTCTTGAAGACAAAAAAGATGTGGCTTGATGAGAAATGTTTGTGAAAGAAAGTTGAGTGTTTACCCTTAAACTACAGCTTTGAATCAGTTCTTCCCAGTTTAGTCATGGCCAACAAAGCAAAACTGAAATGGACTCGAATTTGTTAAATGTGAGTGAATCAGAACAGGAAAAATTACAGGTTGATACCCTGCTGGAAACGTAATCTTTCTCTTAGAAGACAAGAGCACTGTACATGTTGCAGAGCAACGGAATCTCTTAAACAGAAGAGTTGGAACAAGAGCGCCCCACTCAAAGATGGAGGCCAACTGCCCTGTCCTGTGTCACTCTCCACAACCCTGACATAACTCAGTCTCCTTCAAGGACCTGCTATACCTCTTCTGAGTCTCCTATGCCAGGGCTTCAATCTGTAATTTTCCCTGTTCCAGCTGTCATTTGCTTTACCCAGCTTTTAAAAATTCAAGTCTATTCTGATTTCGTTTTATTGACTGTGACTGCACCAGTTCAAACCAATTCAAAACTCTGCCTTACATCATCTAATCAACAGTGTCAGTTTTCTGCCACCCCTGCCCTAAATGGGACATGTTAATCTTCTGCCCATCAAGGGTGGCTAAAGCCATAGTCAAGACATGTGATTGATGAGCCCTTTGCATTGACCGTGGCTACTGCTCTGGAGAGGGCACCACTTACCAGAGGTGCTTCAAAGGCATGAGCAGTTCTGGAGGGGATCCTTAGCTTCACACAGACTACAGAGACCACCTTTATTCTCATGACCACATCTGAGCCAATGGTATCTGCCCACCTGGAAAGACCCTCCTCACCCATCCCCATCAATTCACAGTTTAACCATTCTGCAGGGGTGAAGCTCCACAGCCTCCCTTTCCATGAAGACTTCTGTCTGTGAGCCCATAAAGATTCTCCTTTTCTCCAAGCTCTACTTGGTCTAAGAATTTGTAGTAAATAATTCAGCACTAATTTTATACCATTTCCAATTATCAGGAAGTGAGCATTATTAGCATATACCTCTGAATTGGGCATATTCTCAGCACTGACCTCTGGATCCCCTCTATGGTCTGCTCCAAATTTAAACCCTGACAAAGGCCTGCACCAAAGGTAAATAGAAGTACTTGACTCCAGAAATCCTACCATAGAACAAAAATCTTCATTAACTCTTGCTCCTAAAAGAAGACACTGTCTAATTCGCCCCAAAATACATTTGCCCCCTCCTTCTCCAGCCCCACTCACGATATACAGAGATGTCCAGGCTCTTGTCCTTTTGGACTCCTACACATGAGAAGAAGCACAGCAGGATGGAATTCTCGGTGATATCTTCCAGGAGAAACTCCTTCCACTGATGTCCTTTGCCAACCTGGGTTTTCTTGAAAAGGGTCTCAATTCCACTGGGTCCTGGGTCTTGACAGGTGGTGCTGCAGTTGACCACAATGGACTGTCCAAATTCCACCAGGGCTTGGTCTGGCCAAACAGACACCTCAAAGAGCTCGTCTGTGGCCCCTGAAATGATCAACCACATATCCAAACACTCTGGTGAGGACCAAAACACCCATGAAATACAGAGCTTATTCTATCTAGTTGACCACTCATCTGCAGGCTTGTGTGTTGCTGTGATTCTGGAAGCTATGCTACTGGTATTTTAAATACCAGCAGGATCAACCACGGTGAACAGGTTTTAGCTGAGCTTCCAGACAAAGACAGACTAGGAAGAAGGAGAGATGAACTATTTCTGAACATTTAGTCACTGAAAACCTTATGAATAGTAGTGGAATACTGTCAGCACCAGATTATTGAATACTGAAATATTGTTAGATATAGTGCCAGAAGATGAGCCCCTTAGGTTAGAAGGCACTCAAAATGCGACTAGGGAAGCCTTGCCTCTTCAAAGTAGAGTTGATGGTGATGATGTGTATGGAGAAAAGCCCTCGGGACCTTCATTTGCTGATGAAGCACAACTCAAAATTAAGAGAATCAGCTTCCCAAAAAAGGAAGAACACACTCAGCATTTCTCAAGCTGAGGGAACTGAAGAAAAAATTCAAACCTCGACTTGTGGTATTGAAGGATTCTAGGCAAAATACTGAATGATGAAGAAAGCATCAAAAGAAGATGGAAGGAGAAATGCAGAAGGGTCACTTGTGATACAATAGTGAATGATTGTTATCAGGACTGATTGTGAGGGTTGGAAATGTAAAGGTAGACGTTTTGTAGCAAGGAAGGGAGTAATTAACTCTCCAGTCTAGGAGCAGAGGTCTCAAGGACCATCAACGGAGAAGAGCTGAGAGCGGGACCCTAACCAGAGAAGAAGCGAGGCCCAAGATAGAGGCAGAGACGATGACGTGGAGTGATGAAGCGGCTGGGGACTT